GGGCCAGAGTAGCCAGAGACCATGGGACAGAACAAAGAAGACATGTTCAGACAGAACACAGAGACAGTGTCCCTAAGACTCCAGACTATGAGACTGTGAGGAAGAGCAATAGGTTGACTTCCTGGCCCACAGAAGCAGAGATCAAGAGCCCATGTAACTGAGAGACTGAGGACCAGAGAGAGAGATTTGGCTTCTGGCTTAGAAGAGGCGATGTTGTGGACCAACAACTGTATCTTTAATGTTTCCTGATTCTGACTTGTGGTAACCTGTTCCCAATTAACCTCCCATAATTGTGAGTATTGTCTATGAGTTCTATGTGGCCAGCACAATAGATTACTGAACTCCCCAGAGTAGTGGAGTTCCAAGGGAGGAATGATTGGTGTCATAATAGGGAGAATGAAAGATGGGGTGGGGGGTGGGGAGGCACATCTGACCTCAGTCTTACGGCAATTGGCCTTTGGAAGATGTGGAGATGGATTCTCCTTCTCCCTTGTGTATTCAGAGGAGACCAGATATGTCCTTCTCAAACTTTACTCAATGTTTCCTCAGATTTAGGAAGTCTCTGATCCCTGACCTTTCATTAGACTGGTGTTGGAAGAGGACTTTACAGCATTTGAGTAAAAGAGAACAGGGATCTACTGACTAGGTAAGTGCAAAGAATCAGCTCTTAGTGCATAAGTTCCCTGTAAAAGCTGGTGGGGTGTTGGATGAGCTCCTAAAAGGAGGGCCAGTTGTGGTGGTCCAAGAACAGATGATGAGATCCTATGAGGCGATTAGGGCAAAATTTGTGGCACAGCCTCATCGAAAAGGACTGGTTGGCTAGTGTGATAGGTTTTTCGTGCCAACATGGCACCCATAAGAAAAGATGGGTGGAATTTAGCCTGTCAGTCAGGTCACCACAGCCTGATGGTGCCTCCTTGTGGCTGTGACCTCCTCATAAGGAGGGTCCTGGGAACCTCCCCCTATTTCTCTGCCTTTACCTTTCTGCTATCAAGTCACTCAGAGAGCTCCCAGAGCCACCGCTATTGGATTCATGGGATATTGCATGTGGCTTCGTGAATCTGAAGAGGGACTTGTGGACAAGTATCAGACTTGTGGACTAGTATTGGATGTATAGACTTGGGTTGGACTGGGCTGTGCTGTTTTCTTGATAAATCATGACCTCTTGATATAAAGCATTTTCTTACACATATATAAGTGTCCTCGGATTTGTTTCTCTAATCAACCCGGCCTAACACAGCTGGGAACATTTCTTTTCTTGTGTGTTTTTTTTCTGATTGTTCTGATCGATCGTCATTGAGGTTTCTCTGATACAGCCCTTCTCTAAAACCTATTATCTCCTTGAAGATTTCTTTCTATAGATTACTTTCCTTTTATAGCCAGGAGCCTCTGAGACCTTAGGCTGGCTAGGGGATTACTCTAGAAATTTTAGCATGTATATACCTAAGCAGTGTAAGATGAGAAATATGACAAGCAAGATTCCAAAGGTTATCCCTTTGGGGCTTCCTCTAGAACTTCTTGATGAAAGAATAACTTAAAGTGTTATGCAACCAGGTTTTGCCACAGAATGAATTGGCTGATGAAGCAAGGTGGCCAGAGAATGAGTTTGGTGATTTTAATACAATTTTGCAATTAGATTTGTTTGTTTGTTTAGATTTGTTTTGTATTAAGGCCAATAAATGAGAAAAATGCATGTAGAGGTTTTGATAACTTTTTATAGGTATTCATTTTAAGAACCTGAGTTCTCTGTATATTTATGACATATAGTATCTTATAAACCTAAGTTTCAAAGTAAATATTATTTTCTATTTCACTTTTTTCCTGAGAGCTTGCTCTATCCTAAGCTTCTTTTTGTATGAAGTTGAAGGCCATGGATGATATTTTTCATAGCATAGTTTTAAAATCTCTGTCCTTTCTCTCTTCCAAGAAAAATTGCTCTTTGCTCCTGGTTTAAACTCTAGATTTTTAAGTTACTCTAAGAAAGTTTAATATAAAATTGTATTGGAAAAAATGAATTATTTAATTTAATTTTTATAACAAAGTCTTTAAAAAGAAATTCACTCTGCTTTGATTTAAAGGCAAGTGAGTGATTGTGAGTTAAACAATCTTAATATAGTAGAGAATTAATGAGTGATTTTCTTTTAGCAAAGGTTTTGTATTTATAACTTGAAAGCAAAATAATTCCAAGTAACTTAAGTTAGCTAATACAGAATATATTTCATTTTAGGAAAAGAGTGGTTTTTAAAGGAAGCTAGTTATGGAAAGAGTTCTTGCCTACCCAGGGTGGCCAATAAGACTGCTTGTCTTGTGCTTCTTGTTTTCTTATGCTACAGTGCTAATGTCCTTCCCAATGTTAGGTGCTGCACCAGAGGACATTACACAATGCCTTGGCTTTAACTCCAGATGGAGCAGGGGCTTTTCAGAAGATTGCAACCAGACACTTGGTGGGTAAAATTTGGGACTGGCTACTTCTCTGGTCACCAGAATAGTGTGGTAAAAAAGAAGGATCCCATCTGTCTTGTAGTCATCTACTGGTAAAATTGTCAACTGTTCCTGAGAAGTCAGAGCTGATTATGGCTGCATTAAATTAGCCCAGCCAACAATTCACCCATTTGTCTCCTCTCTGGGTACCTTTGCCCAGATTCTTCTCCCAGTCAGCATTCAATCCATTTCCTCCAAAGTCACAGCCAGGATTCTCATCTGTATGTTTCATCTGGCATCTTTGTTGTAGAGGGTCTGACATCCACCTTGATGGAAAGTCTCATTATTAACTTCTCTTTTATCGCTGTTGTTTGCTTGTTTCTGCCTGCTTGGTTTTTGTCTCGTTTATTATTTTTGGTTATTGCTATTGCTTATCTTTTTTTTAGTTCCACTTGGCAGGCTACAGTAGCAGTGCCCATACACTCCAGTCATGTCTGTACTTTCAGAAACCAACACTGGAAGTGTGTCATTACCTGACCCAGTACTTGTTTAGTAATGTATAGTGGCCAACATAAGCTAAACCCACCCTCAAATGTGTTACATGAACAGTGACCAGAAAACTGTACACACATTCCCATTTTCTATCATACCTACTAGAAGACAGGTGATAATGAGAGAAGAACACACCAATACAATTAAAATTAAATATTTAAAAAATAATTAAAAAGTCATTAAAAGTAAAATATATAATAAAATGAAATACAAATATACCTCAGTGTCTAGGAGAGAGCAGAAAATTTTTGTTCAGACAAAGGGAAAGCTGGCTGAAACAATTCACAGAAATACAAAGCCAGACCATTCTGAGGAAGAGATGGCATTGGAACTACCTGGTAGAGAATGCAAAAGAATTATATTTAGGTACTTTCAACAGATTGAAAGAGAGACAGAAAATACTAAAGATGAAATCAAGGAAGACACAGACAAAACTTTAGCATAATTCAGGAAAGCACAACAAGAAAAAAATGACAAAATACACAAAACATTAGCAACCATGCAAAAACACTGATCAGAAATCCAAAATATTCATCTAAATAAAGTTTCAGAAATATTTAATACAGTGAAATGGCAAAATAGTATAATTGAATGGATGGAAGACCAAATTGGTAAAATTGAAGATAAATTTCTCAATATTAATCTTTTAGAAAAACAATTTCAAAAAGAAGAACAAAAATCTGAAGGAAGACTAAGAACTTATGATGCAACATCAAGAGGAATAACTGATATATGACTAGAATTCAAAAACAAGAAGAAGCAACAAAAGGCACAGAGAAATTTGTTGAACAGCTTTTGGAAAAACACTTCCTTCCCTAACATCATGAACAACAAGAATATATGCTTTCCAGAAGCTGAACAAACACTAAACAGGAGAGACCCCAAAAGAAAACGACCATGACATATTTTAAATCAAACTTTCCAATATCAAATATAAGGAAAGAATCCTGAGAGCAGCTCAGGAAAAAGCAAAATTACTACAAAGGGAAATCAAGATAAAGTTCTGATTTTTCAGCAGAAACCTCACAGACAAGATGGCACATTATGTAAAACTCTGAGGGTCAGGGGGAATGACAACTTATAATTATATACCCAGCAAAAATGTCCCTGACATACAATGACAACTTTAGGACATTTCAGATAAATAGAAATTAAAGAAACCCATAAAAGCCATAAGAATCTTACAAGAAATACTACGGGTAGTTTTTTGACTCAAGAACCAACATTGGCAGACAAAAAAACAGAGATTAACATACATTACAACACCACACAAAAGTCAACCCACATATAGAAGTATCCAATGTAATAAAAACATACAAGATTTAAAATAGGTAAGCAAATCTATCAATATATAAATGAAGACAATTACAAAGTAAAAAAAGGAAATAGTGTGTAGTTACATAATTTCCAAATGGACAGGAAGTAAAGCTGATTTCAAGAAAGAACAAATTTTTAAATTAATTACAGGATCACCTTAAAGTTAAGCCTTCTCATCAAACTAAAAATAAAAATATTGTAAGGATTTAGTAATCACTAAAACAATAGTAATGAAGAAAATGAACATAAAAAAATCACAAACAAAATGCACTAAACATAGAAAATTATGTGGAATTAAGAAACCAGCAGCAACACACAGAGAGTAAAATGACAGCCATTGATGCCTACCTATTAATAATTACAATGAATATAAATGAGTTAAATACCCCAGTCAACAGAAAGAGTAGTAAGATGTATAACAAAACCAAAACCAAACCCAAATTCACCATTAAGACAATTGCAACTCACAGTGACCCTGTATAACAGGGTAGAACTGCCCCTGAGGGTTTCTGAGACTGTAAGTCTTTACAGGAGTAGAAACCCTTATCTTTTTTCCACAGAGTGGCTGGTGGTTTCAAACAGCTGACCTTGCAGTTAGCAGCCAAACACATAACCATTATTCTGCCAGGATTCCTTGGTAAGAAAATAGGCTTCATCAATATGCTGTGTCTGCAAGAGATGCACCTTGCCCATAAAGACAAAAATAGAGTGCATGGGTTTGGATTTATGGCAGGTTTCCGATCCCATGGGCCTTCCACAGTGTCCCATGCCAAAGCATACTGTAACCGTGAACCATTGCCTGGCTTTATCCCATGAGCTTAAGGCACTGAAGCGGGTTGCACGGTGGGGAAAAAAAAGACAAAAATAGACTACCATTCAAAGACCGGAAATATATAAAAAATTAATAGCAATCAAAAAGAGCACAAATGGTAGTATTAATTTCTGAAAAAAAATCTATCTAAGGTAAAAGTCAGATTACCAGACAAGGAAGTACAATATATATTGATTAAAAGGTCAATTGACCAAGGGGCATAACCATAATAAATATAAATGGACCCGATGAAAATGTTTCAAATTATATAAATCAAACACTGATAAATTTGAACAGAAAATAGATAACTCTGCAATAATAGTGGACTTTAATACAACACAGGCAACTAGAAAGAAACTCAACAAAGACTCAGAACTAAACAGCACAATCAGTCAATTTGACCTCATAGACATGTATAGTATACTCCACCCAACAATAGTTCAATATATGTACTCTTTTCTGGTGCACATAGAACATTTTCTAGAATAAGCCATATGTCAAGCTTCAAAGCAAACTTCAGTAAAAATTTAAAACATCAAAATATTATAAAGCATCTTCTCAGACCATAATCCTATCAAATTAGTAATCAACAGCAGGAAGTTCAAAGTTGTGAGGGGAAGGGTCAAATACATACAAATTGAATAATACCTTGCTTAAAAAACTACTGGTTAATAAAAGAAATTAATTCCTTAAATCAAACAAGAATGACAGCACAAAATATTAAAAATTTTGGAATACAGCAAAAGCAATGCTCAGAAGGCAATTTATAGTAGGAAACACACACATCAAAAATAGAATCCAAATCAACAGCTTAGCTTAATATCTCCAACAGTTTAAAAAAGAACAACAAAATAAACCGATAATCACCATGAAAATTAAATAATAAAATATAGAACAGATATGAAATGGAAAACAGAAAAACAATAGGAAAAAATCAATAAGTCTTGAAGTTTTCTCTTTGAGAACATTAATAAAATCAAGAACTCCCTGATAAATTTAGCAAAATGAATAAGATGCAAATAACACAAATAAGAAATACCACAACAGAACCGACTGAAATAAAAGGATAATAACACAGAATGCTACGAAAGACAATACTCCAACAAATTTGAAAATATAGAAGCAATTGATAAACTTGTAGAAGCATTCTACCTACCTAAACTAATATGGTATGAAGTAGAAAATCTGCACAGACCCATAACAAAAGAAGAAATTGAGCAAGTCATGAAAAAATCCCCAACAACATAAAAGTCTGAGCTCACATGACTTTGTAAATAAATGCTATCAAACATTCAGAGAAGAGTTGACACCAATTCTAGTCAAACTATTGCAGGGTAAAGAAAAGGATAGAATAATTCACTTTAAGAAACAAGTATATCCTTGATGCTGAAACCAGGCAAAGACATCACCAATATCCCTCATGAACAGAAAAATGAAAAAAATCAACAAAATAATAGCCACAAGAAACCAACTACATATCAAAAAAATAATGGATCATGCAGAAGTGGGTTTCATACCAGGAAGGCAAGGATGTTTCAACATTAGAAAAACAATCCATTTAATCTGCCACATAAATAAAACAGTGGAAAATAATATGATCATATTGATCAATACCAAAAAGACAGTTGACAAAATGTAAGACCTATTTCTATTAAAATCTCTAAACAAAATAGAAGTTGAAGGGGAAAGCCTTGACATAATGAAGGACATATATTTGAAACCAATGGCCAAGACCAATATTCTCTCAATGGAGGGAAACGGAAAACATTTCCCTTGAGAATGGGCACCAGAGGAGGTTGCCCTTTATCATCACTCTTATTCAATATTATGCTGGAATTCTTAGCCAGAATTATAAGACAAGAAAAGAAAATTAAAACATCCAAATTGGCAAAGAAGTAAAATTATCTCTATTTGCAGATGATATGATCCTTGCAGTGCACTGAATTATTTAATATAGCTCTCTTAGTTATACTCTGTGTTACTCATTTAAAGAAAATTTTCCTGATGGCATTGGGTAGCAGAAAGTGGGGGAAGATACTAATAAGATTCAATTGTGAGTGATTGCTAACAGGGCTGTCATTGCCATTCTTCAGGGCAAAAGATGACCTATATTAGAAGCAGGAAGTGGGATCTCACTGCCATCAAGTAAGAAGAGTCAAGACTGTGGCACTTCTGTTAGACCCCAAGATTTTTGCATATTGAACTTCCTTGACCAAGAGAGATGTGGCAACCAAGGAGCAGCAGCAACAGATCCAAGAGCCAAAGTTTGAGACAGCCTAACCCTTAAAGGTTGGACTTCCTAACGCATAAAGCATGTGAAGTTAAGTGCCTTTGGCTTGTGTAGTAGGGTGCCTTCAGGCACTTAACTGGAGGATCTAGGTTTGCTGATCCCTGGAGCTAGATCTGAGTGCCTGAGCAGAGCAGAAGCCAAACAAAGAGGCCAAGGACTAGAGAGAGAAGATTGCCTGCAGGCACAGCAGAGAAGAGGGGGTCCTAACAGAACAATGGAATTCTGGGTATTTCCCAACTAAATTGTAACCTTTTAACTTCCCTCCATAAGCCCAATAATCATGAACATTTTCTTTGAGTTCCATGTGGCTATTGAAATGAATTATTGAACATAGTTGAGAAGTCGAGTGCCATGGGAAAAATGGTTGGTGTCAGGATTGGTAAGAAGGTTGGGAGGTAAAGGCATGTCTGACCTCGGCCCCTTTGTTTTTGTGAGGTTGTTTTCCTACAGTTTTTTTGATGTATAATTAACATATCATATGATTCAATGGTTAAATCAAATCAAGAAGAGTTGTATAGTCATCACCACAGTCAGTTAATATAGTTAACTTTCTATATAGATTTACCTATCCTGGATTTCATATACAGAAAATCATTAAAAAAGCAAACAAACAAAAAACTAACAAGAATAACAAAGGAAAACAGATTAAAAACCTCAATTGAAAAGAAAGCAGAACAAATTTAAATGGATCAAATGATCGCAAGCTACATTGTAATTTAACTGCATCTGCAACAATCTGGTTTCCAATGCATTCTTAATGTTATCAAAGCTATTCACAACCCTAGTCCGTGGTCAGAGGAAATTCACCAGGGCCGTAATCCATGTGTATTTCCCCTTCACTTTTTAAAAAATTGACCTCAGCCTCTTTGTAGTCAGTGTTGGCTGATGCAGTAGATTCTCTTTCCCTCTAATCCAGTGAGCGGTTCTCAACCTTCCTAATGCCACGACCCTTCAATACAGTTCCTCATGTTGTGGTGATCCCCCAACCATAACATTATTTTCGTTACTAGGTCATAACTATAATTTTGCTGCTGTTGTGAATCGGGCGACCTCTGTGAGTCGTTCGATCCACAAAAGGGTCAGGACCCACAGGTTGAGAACCGCTGTGTCTAGTCAGAGGAAATCAGATGACATCTTCCCCCACCCTCTAGTCTGAGGATGTCAGATGGCACCTTTCCCTCATGTCACATTTTCTTTTTCTTTTTTTTTACAATCCAACACCGAAAATCCCAAATATTCAGCAAGATTGCTGGAACTAACTGAAATATTCAGCAAAGCGTCACGCCACAAGATTAACATCCAAGAGTCACCCAGATTCCTTTACACTAACAAAGAGTGCTCCGAAAAGGAAATCAGGGAAGCAATGCCACTTACAATAGCCACCCCAGAGATAAAATACTTAGGAATAAACCTGACGAGAGATGAAAATACTTAAAGAAAATTACAAAACATGACTATAAGAAATCAAAGGAAATCTACAAGTGGAAGAATATACCAGCATTGTAACAATGGCAATACCATCCAAAATGAGCTAAAGGTAGGATACAATTCTGACACAGATTCCAATATCATTCTCTAACGAGATGAAAAATATTATCACATTTTATATGGAAATTCATAGACCCTGTATAAGCAAAGTACTGGAGCCCTGGTGGCAGAGTGGAATGTGATCCACAAGATCAGAAGTTCGAGACCACCATCAGCTCCATGGAGAAAGACAGGGCTTTCTATTTCCATAAACAATTACAGTCTTGGAAACTCACAAGGGCAGTTCTGCCCTGTCCTATAGGGTTGCTATGAGTCAGCATCAAGTTGATAGCAGTGAGTGAGTGAGTAAAGCAAAGCACTACTGAAGAAGAACAAACTAGGAGGCCCCAAACTACCCTATCTCAAAACTGACTAAACAGCCATAGTAATGAAAACTGAGTACAAGGACAGAGCTATAGAGCAGGGGTGTCAAATGGGCGGCCCGCAGGCCATATGTGGGCCCCGAGGTATTTTTTTGTGGCCCACGATGCTCTGAAATAAAATGAAAATAGAAAAAAATGTTATGAAGAAAATAGAGCTTAGGGGGGAGATCGAGGCAATACCGTACACACAATTCCCTTGTTAACTCTTTAACTACTGAAGATGAGTGTACACATGGCCCAGTGCCTTTCCTGGGGGCCTTTGGATGTGTATAAATGCGTTGACTCAGTTCTGGTGACGTTTGGAAGCGATATGTCTGCCACTCAGTGTCATGTAACGTAAATAGATCCCAATAGCGAAAAGGTTAAAAAGAGCACTCTGAGTTGTGCTGTGATGAGTCGTACCTAGTGGCAGCGCTAGTTCACATTTTTAGAGGAAAACCATTACAATTGTGCATCACGTTTGTGAACTGTCCAACATTTTGTGTTTTTTATGAATTACTTTGTTATATTTTCCGGTCACAACATAAGAGGTAAGTGAAAACTAGTAGGAGGAATGCTCTGGTAAATTTTGGGTAAAAACAGAATAATTTTTGTTTTATAAATACGTTAAATAAAATAAATGTTTAAATAAAAGCAATTATATAGTGTTTTAAGTATCCTACTCATATTCCTGAATCCTCACTTCAAAATATAAATTTAACAAAATTTAACAAAATTTGTAAATGGGATGTGGCCCTTGTGAATCTTGCCTGTTGCACCAGATGGTCCGCGTTTTAATTGAGTTTGACACCCCTGCTGTCGACCAATGGAACATTATTGAGAACCCAGACATATA